AATAACAAAACGGATTCTATATCATGTTTTTCCTACACAGTTATGTGCCATGCGTGACTGACGAGGCAGATTTTTTTCCCGCAGTAGGTTTCCATTTTTTTCTGCGGTAGAAGATAGAACCCGGTCTATTCTGCTATTTACCTTTAGCTGGGGAGAAGACGATTCATACTTTTCCCAAGAGTATTAGTAAGTGAATGTAATGGATTCGACTGGAATTCGAACTCGGCTCTCCGACTTCTCAATTTGAGCCACTATCCATTACCCCACTGTGCCTCCTTACACACGCCCCTTAAAAGGGAAACTATTCTTTTGTTTACGTTTCATCACGTCATCTCTTACAAATACTGATTGTTCTTCTTCTTTTCCTATATCTAAACAGTTACAAACAGCTGGGTGTTCTCATGGCCATTTACTTAAACTTCATTGACACTCACATAATACTGCTAATAACAGTAAGATAATGGTACATTCCACTTTCAATATTTTTTATTCAGTCTTTTATTCAATATTGAAAGTTTAGCTGTGAACGCAATCATAGCTAGATGTTTACATTTTCTCAGCTGAGCTTACAAGTTGATTTCATTGAATTATCCTTCAAATAGGCAATTTATCATGAAACCATGCCAGTAATATATAAGGTACAAATGGTTTTATTACTTTTATTATCAGTTTTTTTTTTATTTGTTGTTATTGGATATTGCACCGAGGTCGAGGTTAGCCTCCCGACAAACATCACACAGAATTTAAAGTTTCTTTTTTTCTTGATTTTTAATGGTGATTTTTGGAATTTAAATGTCGTCTTATACGCAGAAATACGGTATATATCAAATTAATAAAAATGATTCATTTTCATCTGAGATTATTATACAATTCAAAAATATATTTCGGCTTTAAATGATACACAAACCGTAAAACAAATCAATTTCATCTGAGATGGTAATAGTCTCATTCGGTAATTAGACCTTTGCATACTTTTCAGAATATGCTACTTGTTAATTATAAAGATTAGGTGCATGTCAAATTTAACTTTTGCTTTATCTGACTTTTGTTCTTTTTTTTTTTTTTTGTCTGTAAAAATGTGGCATTAATTTTCGAAAACCTAACAATATGAAAATAATTGTGATCTCGTGTAGTTCTGTTAGAGAAACGCCGGTGTGATCAATGTTCCTTGTTTTTGTAAGGCGTGAAATCGTATATCGTAAATACTTCAATCACTATATTCCATCACAGATTCCTTGAAAATCGCTAAAATCTTATTTACATTGCTTCTTTCTTCTTTAACATTATTTGAACTCAGATTGAGTGTTGGCACTGTGGATTACATCGACTCAAAGACTTTTAGAACTTTTTTATCACAGGAACGACTTGCGTTTCTCTTGTCTTATTCTATTATGAAAATACATTCTATCACCTGTTAGAAACTCACGTTTCTGTTGACCTAAGCATACATCACATAAGCAAAACCTGCAGTTAGAAACTAAAGAGTATTTTTAAAGAAAATAGCAAATCTAAAATTGTTGTGCAAAATGCAAAAATTATTTTAGAAGACATAAAAGATTTGTGCAACATGGGGAAATTTTGAAAAATATTAAGAATATTTTAGTCCGGCAAGGCATTAATTTTACCTCCAATGGAACAGTAACGATTAGGTAGACATTGCTTATATGTAAAATAACTGGTGTAATTAATATCAAAATGGGAAAGGAATGGTGAAATACAAGACGAGTTCAATACATACATACATGCATATATATATATATATATATATAAGACAGTAGGAAAACTAACAGTTGCCGACGCGTTTCGTCCGATGTGGACTTTTTCAAGGCACAAGGCAAAAACGAAATGAATTTATTAAACAAAGTAACTAATAATAACAAAACAAAATGTCCTTAGCAACTGGAAGAATTTAGAGAACGCTATTTTCATAGTGTTAATAGAAAATTACGACAATTACTGTCACGTGTGGAGATATTGTTTTTATTGCTGTGTTGATGGATTCAACCATTTTCTTTTGATTTCTTGATACTGTTCTGTACGCTTGTTTTGGAAAGTAGTAATTCTGTTAAGAAAGGTGAAATAGGAAAAAAAACCTGAGCGTAGATTAATATTTGGGTAATATTCAATGGCGGCACTCTCCAGAATTTTCCTTCTGAGTGAGTTATTTTCTTTTTTTTTATGAGTGTAGCATTTTTAAAATCAAAATTGTGGTTGAATTTATTTCTATGTATGACTAGTGCATTGTTTTTTGTTAGGTTTCTTTTGTGCTCATAAATGCGTTTTTTAAACCGCCATTGAATATTACCCAATTGTCTTTTTCTACGGGTTAACTCTGAAAATTTTTTCATATATATATATATATATATATATATATACAAAAAATTATTTACTATTCACAAATTACATATTAAATAAAAAAGATGTAAAAAAAAGAAGTGACCTCTCAGGGACTCATCGCTTTTTAGGGGTTGAAGAGATATTGTTAAATGAAGGTTGCATGAATCTTTCTTGATGCATGGGTTGCTGAGCGATGTGGACAGAATCATTCTGGTAGTTTTCCAGAAATATCTTCTGAGAGATGGATAAAGTTCTGTTACTTTTGGCGAGGCTCTGCTTTTGAATTTATCTGGAGTTGTTGTCGATAATGTTGAGCATTAGACTTAAGACGTGGACGTTTGTTGTAGTGTTGACGGACCTGTCTTTTCACAAAACCACTTTTTAAAATGGTTGACATCTTGTTGCTTGTTCTGCTTTCCTCACACTGGTGATCAACCTTCAAGGACTCGTATTGAGGGGGAAAATAGTCTACATATGATTGCGCACGGTTTTCAGTGTTAGATTTGGGCGTAAATATTTGGCACATATTTCCCTCTAAGTTGTTGGTGAGTCACGTTTATTAGAATATAAAACAAGGATAGTTTTTAAATTTTTTCTGTTTAATAAAAGGTCTTTTGAATAAAATATTTTAATTTTTCAAATACTTTTAAAATAAATTCTTATATTTTATTGATATGAGTAATGTCTGTTGTATAATATAAATTCTAATTTTTCAAACAACTTTTCTTAAATTCTTATAGTTGGTTTTCCTTTAATTTTTACCGCATACAAATCTCACTCAGTTCAAACATTGATAGTTAATTAATAATTAATTAATAAATAATGTTTAAAAATACTTATTGTTTTAATTAAACTAGGCAAAAAGTGACTTGTTAAATATGGCGCCTCTAAAACGAAACTGTTCTCTATTAGTCATCTTAACATTTTTTGATGGATTGAGGAATATTGTCCTTGTCCAAAAACTGCTGCACAAGCTATGGTCACTGATGAGACCTCTGTGGTGTAGCATGGTAAGACGACCACACTCTACACACTTTCCTTCCAAGCACTGCTATAAACAACGGAAGTGAGCAAGAAAGTTATAACTTAGTGCGTATGCACGGAAGAGTTCAACGTTAATCTGTTCGAAGCATCTTTACTCTATTACCATAACAACACTCCCAATACTTTTTGATCAGACCTTATATATATATATATATGTGTGTGTGTGTGTGTGTGTGTGTGTGTGCATATCTATAATAACAAGATCTATAATATGAACAATTAAAATATAAGAATCACAGAACATTAATATTTTATTAATAAAGAAGTCTTTATAAATTAATTCTGAATTTATAAGTGTGGAACATTGAACCGGCAAAGCAGATCACAAATTCCGGTCTAGACTGTTGCAATCACTTTCGCACAAATCCATCTGTAAGGCAAACTTAAAAAGTATTAGCCTGATCGGTTCGACAAGATCAAATTGGCAGTGGATCTAAAAACCTGCCTAAATTCTGTTGTTAACTGGAGCAAGAAGTGGCTTGTTAAATTTAACACCTTCAAAACGAAACTGCTCTTTATTAATCACCTTAAACCATTTTATTTTACCTTCCATTATCACGACTAATGGTAACCTCCAGGAGAACAACTCACTACGTCTTCATGGTCTAACGATTTTCACTGAGATCAACAATTATATTGACTCATTTGCTAAATCTGCTGCTAGGAAAGTCGGTTCACTCTCTTGTAGTGGACAAGAGATTTGCCAGAATCAGTCTCGCACATTTATAATTCTACCATTCGTCTGTTCATCAAATATTGTTGCTACATCTTGCCTGCCCGCTTTAGTTTTAGATTTAGAGATTCTTATTAAAATTCAAAGAATAATCGGCAACGTTATCGGTCCTTACTTGGCATATCATTTGCAGTCACTTTCCCACCACCTTAATATAGCTTCTCTATGCCTCTCCTATAAAGATTTTGACAGTAATTGTTCTGATCGGCTTTCATCTTGGTACCTCGACTTCACGAATTTAAGCGCAGTACTAGATTGGCAGCTAGATCTCACAATTTCATTCTTGAAGTCCCTAGTTATAACTATAAGTTCTATGCTAACGGTTTCTTCCCTCGCACTTCTCAAGTGTGGAACTCTCTTCCGCTTTCCTGATTACCTGTCAACGACAATCTAGATGTAATATCAATCGTCATCTTGAATGCTGTTCTTTTATTCTTCTTTCTGTTTCCGGGTTTGAGACCATATCATATTGAAACATCAGTCCCCTGTCTGTATTTCTGAGATGAGGTATTGTAATTATATTATTTCCATTGTTCGGACTGTTGTCCCCATCTTTATTGCCATATTCACGACGTTTCGGCCGTTGTACGCTCTGTAGTAGCCAGGAATTGAACTCGCAACTCTTTGTGCTGAACAAAATCTTGGAGAATTGAGTTAAAGGGAGATAACTGAGACATTCAAAAGATGCATGACACGTGGAACTAGAACAATCTACCCCGGTGGATGAAAAAAAGGGTTCAGTACGAAATTCTAATCACCTGAAGAAGGCCAGATCGTACAATGGCCGAAACGTCGTGAATATGTTGGCGATAATATTGAACATTAGACGTGGACGTTTGTTGTAATAAAGATGAAGACAACAGTACGAACAATATGAATAATGTCAATAAACCGGTTCTCGTACGATCACCGAAGTGAAGCAATGTCGAGCCTGGCCAGTACCTAGATGGATGACCGCTTGAGAATATCAGGTGTGGTAAGCTTAGATGTGCGGGTGGTGTAATAGATAATGTCTTAGAATTGGCGATCGAAGAGGCGAGTTCTAATTCCAGTCAGGTTCTTTATATTCACTTCCGCGCAAATATTCTTGGGGAAGGTATGAATACACATATCCCCCCCCCGCGTTCTATGTGTTAATTAGTAGGTTTTTATCAGTAAATCATTATTATCTCCCCAAAATTCTTCCAATATCAAGGGTCGATAAACCGTAAAACACAAACTAATCGTTAAAACTCTGTTTCTTTCACTCTCAATAACCTCTTGCATCCTAGTAGCTTTCATTTGATGGATTTGTTGACAAGTTACCGTAAAGTTTATTAATAATGTTCAGAAAAATATCTTCATTTTCTGGCAAAAGAAGAGGTTGTGGCTAAAAAAAAAAATTCTTTATGTTCTTGTGGACGACAGGAAATAATCAGGCGGTGAAATGATTAAAAACAAAAAGAATCTAATTAACCATTTAGAATATACCGTCAAATCACTTCATCACGTGACGCAGCAATATATAAGGCACAAACCTCACAGGCGTGCCAAAACCCAAAACGTCCGACGAACTGCACAACTTCAAAAAAACATTCTTCCTTCCCTGCTGACGGCACCAATTAGTTTTTAATTTGATACAAATTACAATTGCCTTTTCTTTATTGAATATTTTGTAAGGCGATTCCACTAAAATCTTAATTATTCACTTTTTTAAGAACGTCCATCCTTTATGCTGATCCTCTCGCCACGCTGTTTTAATTCGTTGGTTATATACATCGTACTTAATAGCTTCCTTCTCGTGTAATATTTGTATGCCGCCAGATTCTTTTTTGCGGGTTAACCCTGTCTGAGGCCCGTCTACCGAATCACTTAGCCCTATCATCTGATTTTGCCAGAAATAGAGTTTTTTTTTCTTCTGAACTCTATTAATAAACTTTATAACAACCTGTCATCAAGTCCATCAAATAAACGGTATACTTAGAAGCGGGCGAAGACAAAAGAACACTTATCCAAACACCATCTTCATTCTCTCTATGGCGCTAATTGGCAGTCGTGAATATTAAATTCTCTCCTTCTCTGCTCATTAAATCCGAGATCAATGTAAATGGTAAAAGTAACAAACATGGAGGAATTCTTTTGTGTCATCTTATACCCTTTTATGTCAGATTTTCCTATTTCTACAGAACATTAACTGCTGCTGAAGCTTACTTCAAACAGAACGATAGATGCCAATAGGGTATGCTTTGCAACTGTAAATGAATCTCCAAGAGTTCAACCTCATAATCATCTGGCATAATTATAATCTTACTCTAGATCTAAGGCTTACAATGATATCTTCGCTGGGCTTACATTATAGCATTTACTAGTAAAAGGAAATTCTTCTTTTTTGTTTCAACATTTTTGTATATAACATTAAGACAAAACTCTTATTCATGTACTGTTAGCACAAGACTATTTCGAATATATATATTCGCCTGAAGGAAAACTATTGTGTATACTAGTAAGAGGAAAGCTTTAGTTGATACTTGTATCACGAAACATTTTTCTAATTTTCACCCAGTGCAAGACTCGAGAGCCATTCAAGGTAGAATGAAGTTTGTTATATGAATGTAAAAATATGCAGTTAAGCTTATGAGGCTATGGAAGATAGATAACGATTGGCCTTTGACGAGGTTAAGATTGTAACGTTTGGAGAAGTATCCAGCTCTTTTGAATATAATAGAAATGCAAATCTATTTTCTATATATATATATATATATACTTATATTATTTCTTATATCTCTAAACAAGGTCTTACGTCCATATCAGGTTGAAACACCAGTTTCCGTACACCACTGAAGTTAAGCAACGTCGAGTTTGATCAGTACCTAGATGGGTGACCGCTTAGGAATACTGGGTGCTGTAAGTTTAGATGTGCGGTTGTTGTAACGGATAACGGCACGGAATTGTTAATCGGGGAGCCGAGTTTCAATTCCCGTTGGGTTCGTTATATTCACTTACACGCAAATACCCTTTGGAAAGGCATGAATCCATCTATTCTACCCCTCCCCACCAACTATAGGTTAGTTAGTATCACTAAATCATTATGTCCCAAAAACGTTTTACATTCTAAAAATATTTATAAAAATAAATTAAATAACCTGCAATATTTTTAGATTGTAAGAATTTGGGGGGTTTAGAAATACTTACTGATTAACCCACACCAAGGGGGGATAGGTGGACTCATACTATTCCCAAGGGTATTTGTGCGTAAGTATCTATAACGAAATAAACTGGAATTGGAAACCGGCTCTCCAATTAACAATTACGAGGTATTATCCATTGCACAGCCAAGCTTACATCACTTGATATTCTCAAGTGGTCACCCATCTCGGTACAGATCAGGTTTGATGTTGCTTAACTTCGGTAATCGTACGGGAACCAGTATTTTTGCTAATACTTGAAACACAAAGCTTTGCTTTTTACTCTAGTAACATGTTTGTTTGTTTTTTTTTTAATTCCAAGTTGACAGTATTACGAAAGTACAGGGTGCGATGGATAAATTGTTGCCCAAATTATGCGAAAATGAAAATAACACTGACATCTCATTTTAACTGATGTATTTACCAAAATTACACAAAGATAACTTGAAATACTAAAGAGTAAATTTATTGAGTAAAATCGCCATTGGCTTCAACCAAGGCCATAATACTTGCCTTCAGTTCATCATTGATATTGACTGGATATATCATCCAACTCTTTCCAAATCCTCTGCACTGTCCTCAGATCAACACATAAACACTCTGAAATGTTCGTATTAGAGCGTCCGGCGCGAATCCCAAGCAGTACAAAATGCCGTTTCCAAATTTCTGGCGGAGTGAATTGTGTCATGGCGCTCTTTTTCTTACAGACGGTGCCCAACTGACCCTACTATACTGTGCAGTCGACAAAATCAAAAACAAATAACGCGCATGCCCAAAATTAAAAATATAAAATAGCGACAATTTACCCATCGCACCGTTTAGAAGAAGAGAAAAGATACGAAAACATTACGCTAATTTTTCTTCAAGAGTATCATGGTCAAACGTTAGAAAGCTGATAGTGTCAGAATGTGGAGATGAACATTGTCAGGCATCAAATTTAGAAAGACTAAACAACTGCAACTGGGAACACGTTTCTGGTACTGTAATTCTTTTTCTAGGATTTTCCTGTTTAAAAATACTGCATTATACCAATATTCTATTCTACTTGACTTGAATAAGCACTTTCGTGGGAATCCAGCTTATTTTTACTGAAAATTCGACGTAAACGCAGCAGCCGCGGCCGGTGTTTGAACTCAAACTGACTGTTCCATTTTCAGCGCTGATAGCCATCATGCTACCCTTACATCCGTTCTACATCAGCTGCACAATTTCTTTTTTCGTTTAGTTGCACTTTTACTTTTGTTAGCATAAAGAAACTTCATACCTCAAAAAAGTTGCTTATTAAGCTGTCTTCAATATTAGAATATAACAAAAATACACCAGGTTTTAAATTTTACAAATGTACACGCTGATATATAATCAGTTACAATACAACCAAAATCAACAGTTTTGAATATGGTTAAAATTAAACGCTCCTAATGCCATCTAAAATAAACGAACACACTTGAAATTCAATGTTGTTTTCGTTAGTTTATCCAGAGCACGCTATGAAGCGTATTATAAACGAATGATGCATTGGTTTAAGCCACGCCCCGTGTAAGATTAGCTTATCGGCAAGTATTTATATTATTCCGTGACAACTTGGTCTTATTTTAAGGTTTGTTCATCTATCATTTATGGGATATGTCAAAAGGCTACCCATTCCTGTTGGCTTTCGTTTAGATATTTAATTTACAAATATACATTAAAATTGAATCAACTTGTCATAGAAGAATTATACTTATCATTTCTTCTGATCTGCGATATGTATGGGTATATCTCGAAGGAGTTCGACGGGGTTTGGCATACTGGCCTTCTACACAAACTCAAAGGCTACAGTGTCTCGGGACGAATATAATAATTCCTAACAAATCGTGTAATGAAGATCATGTTGAACAGACATGCTTCCTGATCACTTCATACTAATGCGGGGTTCCCAAGGGCTCTATCCTTGGACCTACACAGTTTCTGATTTTCATCAATGATTTCTCCAATGTCATGAGGTATTTATGCAGATGGAAAAATCATTTACCCCTGTCTTAGTAGCATGTCTGATAGACTTGTTAAAGTAAACCTGGCAACTGCTCTTGAAAAGTACAATGGTTAACTGGGGTAAGAAATGGCTTGTTAAAGTTAATGCCTCTAAAACCGAACTGCTTTCATTTTAAAAAAATCTTTACGGTTTGCCATCCCCATGGCTGATGCTAAACTCTAAGGGAGCAGCACTCTACGCCTTCTTGGTCACAGGTTTTCCACTGACATGAAGAGGAGTGACTAGATCGAATCAATTGCTACATCTACTGCAAAGAAAGTTGGTTCAATGTGCCGTGACATTATATTTTTCTCGTCAGAATCTATCTTGCACATTTACGAAACTACCATTCGTTCGTGCATTGGGTGCAGTTGCTATATTTGGCCTCGTGCTCCTGCTGTACATCTCGAGATTCTTAAGAAAAATCCAAAGAAGGATCTGCAATGTAATCCATCCTGACCAGGCATCTCGACTTCACTCACTTTCTCACTGACATGACGTGTCTTCCCTCTGTCTTTTCTACAAATATTTTCATGGCAACTGTTCTGATGAGCTTTTTTTTCACCGGTGGCTCAACGATTTGAATTTAAGCGTGCTACTAGATTGGCAACTTCGTCTCACAGTTGTAACGTCGAACTAGCTAGATGCAACCCCGTCAGTTCTATTCTAACAGTTTCTTTTCTCGCACATCTCACTTGTGGAATTCCTTTCCAATTCCTTGCTTCCATGATAATTAAAAAGTTAAATACAACATTAATTGACTTTTTCTGTCTTCTTGAAGCCTGTCCTTTTTTTTATCCTTTGGTCAATCGTCCACTCTAGTCCAATCATTCTTTTTCATTCCAGGTAACCCCATGCATTCTAGTGGCAATAACGACTAAAAAATGTGGAGAAATTAACTAATGCTTTTCAAACACATCAAAATCACACACACAGAGTTTATATATATATATATATATATATAATAAAAATGACTGACAACGCACTGCAGTTATCAGTCCTTTTAATTAAACTTATATAAAAGAGGAATTGCTGCCCAAATACATAGACACACACACACCGTTTTTGAAAGAGTGCTTCTCGCTGACATTATATGACTGTTCCACGGACAAATCTACACAAGCAAGACGCTTAGTCACTTGATTCTGTGTAATTTATTTTGTCATGTGATTAGTGACATGTCTGTCTTTTTTGTAACCTTTCACCCTAAGCAAAGCAATAAATTTAGGATGCAAAGAGGTTATTGAGTATTAGAGAATATAAGAAAAACTACCATTAAGGAGAGAAGACAATAAAAAAAATAAGAATAAGGAAGACAGAAGATAACGATTGACATTGCATTTAATTTTTTGAATCTAACATTATTTAATATAATACAATATATACCTTTTAGATCAACTATTACAAATTTGTTTTAGATTTTAACAAAAATCTGTAAAAAACGAAAAAGGAAAACAATATTCACAGGCAGCATTTAACTTTCGATGCATTGCGTTAATAATCCTAGAATAACTGTAAACAATTATGGCGTCAATTTTTTCTAATTGACCAATATGCTAACCACTAGGAAACGTTCTTTCCCAATTGTTTATAATATGGCATAGCAAAAGGCAGCTAATTTCATCGGTCCTCCTGTTAAGTGTTCTATGTAGACAGGGATGTTTTTTTTAATGAAAAAATCTTACCTGCCTAGTTTAAAGAAAAATACACAATTATTTTGATGTCTTATTCTTGCCAAAGTTGACCAAAGTTTTCACCACTGTGCTTGAAAATGGAAAGTGTAGAAAAGAAAGAAATGATCCAGGCCAAAGTCCTTCGAAAACAGAGGGTGTATTTTTCTTATAAATAAGTAAATTCTAGTTTTGAATCATCACAGTAAGTCGAGGTTTTTTTTTTTTTTAAAAAAAACAAAATCCTATTTTTATGAGATTGTAATCGTTTCAAGCAATTTAAAACCTGTATTGAACGATGAGAAATAAATGAAATAAAATAAAAAAGATAATCAAGTTTGCTTTTGGTAGGAAAAAAAGGTCAAGTGTACATGAATTTGTAAACTTTTGACTGATATTTAAAAATATGCATTTATCTCTTAAGAATTTTATTCTAAGGACGAGTTTCAAAATTGGCTCAAGTTATCTGATTTGTTTATTTATTTATTTTTGATTCATCATAAAATTGGGCGGTTTCTTTTGAAATTTGGATACTTTGACCTTTTATAGGTTAGTCAGAAGTTATTTGATGAGCAGAGATCGGGAAGAAAGGATTGTTCGTGTCAGTAACACCTTCCTTCTGCCTCACCTATTTTTTTGTGGGGGGGTATCGGTCTCAACATTCTAAGCGTTTGACATCAATGCACCAGAAGAGTCTAAAGGGAACCGTGATAAGGAAGGGTGTAGAATCAATGATAAAGATAATACCAAACATTGGCACCAAACTTTACATTCATTCGCTAGTAATCTTTCGAAGACTTCCAAGAACGATCTAACATGTTTTTTCATCTGGAATTTTCAATACTTGCTTTTACTTTTGATATTTTTTAATAGATCTTTTTAATAGAAAATTAAATCTTTGCTTCGAAGACACTGTTATTCTTTTGTAATTTAGTTTTTAAATCAAAAATACCTGCAGGAGAATCTTGCAAAAAGACATGAGTATTTTTTTTGTTTGTTTTTTCCTTTTTTGTTTTGTCAGTCAGATCTCACAAATATATATATATATATATATATATATATATATATATATATATATATATATATATATATATTTATTTTTTTTTTGTCACTGTGGGGCCTATGGCCATATCACGTTGAAACAGCGGTTCCGTACAATCACCGAAGTTAAGTAATGTCGAGCCTAGCCAGTACCTAGATAGGTGACCGCTTGGGAGGTGCTATAAGCTTGGATGAATGACTGAATTGTTAATCGGAGAAACAAGTTCAATTCCCATTTAGTTCATTATATTCACTTACGCGCATATATCATTGGGAAAAGTAATCACTCCACCTCTTCCCCCCAGCTATGGGTTAATTAATAAGACTTGTATCTCTAAACCATTATTATATTAAAAAAATGTCTTAGAATCTAAAAATATTTCCTGGTTTTAAATAACCTGCAAAGTGTTGATAAGCCATAGAAAACGAATCAATCAATCATATGCACGGGCAGAGATACAAGTTTTACTAATTAACCCATAGCTGGGAGGAGAAGAGGTATATTCCCAATGGTGTTTGTACGCAAGTGAATATAACGAACTCAACGGCAACTGGAACTCGGCTATCCGATTTCTCATTCCGAGAAGTGTTATCCATCAAAGTACCTGCATACCCAATCTTACAGCACCTGATATTCCCTATCGGTCGCCCATCTAGGTACTGACAAGGCTCAACGTTGCTTAACTTCGGTGATCGGACAAGAGCCGGTTTTTCAACGTGATATGGCCGTACGTTATCCAGTATATGCTTATGCAGAAATCGATCTTATGTATTGGTCGAACTTTTACTGAAGATCTCGCTAATATCCCAACAGTGTAGGTCGACCTAAGTTTTTCAGATGACTGTTAAGATCACCGGATAGCATACCACGCATTTCCCACTAAAGGTTTTTTTTCTCTTCATCGTCATCTGGTGTGAATCTTTCACTTCTCCTACAGTCTTGTTCTATTTAGCAGGTGGTACTCGGCTTTTTATGATAACTCTATAAAATAGTATAAAGTTAATTCATTTTTTTCTTTGAATTTTTTCAGAAAACGATTATCGTTATTATATGATTAGATATTCAGATCAACTTGGTTGTTATACTCAAAATGTTTTGGTCGTTGTACATTTTGGGCTTCTCCAGGTGTCTGTCATCATACTAGGTACACTCAAAATTTTGAACCGAGCCCTTTATTAAATCTATGTGGGTGATGTTCTCTTCATTTTCCATGCTTATCAAACACATTCTCCACCTAGATTCGCACAAACCCAAACCCGACCAACCTTTTAAATTTGTATCTACCGTTTTGACTCCAGCATAAACCGAACCTGTGTATTCTTCTTCTTCTATATGCCGTGTCTATCCTACCTGTGGGCGATCATAGTTCTCCACAGCCTCCTTCCCTTTGAAGATCTTAGCAGTGCTTGTCTTTTTGCTATCTTTCCTGCTCCCTGTTCTGCCAACAAGGTTAGGTAAGTTATTCTCTGCTTTCCTGTGTCCCTCTTGTTATCAACATGTCCTCTGAGTATTAAATTTTCCAAGCCTCATTCTGTGCCCTAGAAATTTTAATTACCTCTTTCTGATTCTAAGTATAAGTGTTGTTGTTTTTTTCTATCGTATAATCCGAGCCTCTGCCTACTGTTTTGACCACTCTATACCCCTTTTGACTTTCGTGTAAACTGGACGTGTGTATAACGTTTTGATTCCACTGTAAACCCTACCTGTGTCTACCCTTTTTTTTTTTTTGGCGCTAGTGTAAACTGGACACTGTGTAAAAGCAAGTGAGCAATGAGGAAGTTTTAAGGAAAACGCCATTTATACTTAGAAAGAAACAGTTGAAAATCTTAGGATACATAATGAAAAAAGAAGGTTTGGAGAATTGTCATCCACAGGACATACGGAAGGTAAGAGGGACACAGAGAAACTGTCGAACAATCACGTGGTCAAGATAAACACTCAGTTGTGGAGCAAGTGAATACTAATTCAACATTGAGAAAGAGAGCTATTTATGGTGCAATGGAGCATCTCATTATGCTAAAGTGGGATAGTCCATTGCTTGGGCTGTGATTGGCTGCTGGTACCTGAGTGGAAGTATTTCTATATAAATACTAGCATGATTTCTCAGTTAGTTTGCAGGGTTTGTATTACGTTACAACCTGCTTTATTTTTGTCTGCCAGCTGGACGCTAGCTGGGACTCTTACGCCGGTAAGTGCTGTTTATTATTGTTATTCTACAGAAACAACGAGTAACCTACCTAACAAGCTTATGTGAATGAATGTCAGAACAGAGAACGGATGGGGCAGTAAAAAGACAATTATTGTTAAGAGCTACAAAGGATAAGAAGTTAAGTAGGAGTAATATCTTCTTATCTATCAGTTCATCGTGATTTTTTTTTTCATATACGTCTTACATTTGCAATTAAATAACCAAACAGAGGTTGATATATCGTTAACCAACCTAACTGAAATTCGGATGACCGGGTTTCGAGAAGCTAACTCGTGCTAAGGAACTTGACAGACATGTAGATTATCTGTAGAATGTCGTGTGCTAAATTAACCTGCCATAAATTAGTCAGCTTCACTTGCTGAAGTCACTGAACGGCTCTCTATTAATTGCTTTTTTTTAAATTTCCATAGGTTACTGATAGTAACTAGCGAATATGTTTCATGCCAAAAACTAATAAATGCTTCTTGTCCTTTCCAACTTAGACAGACTTTGACCTTACCTGCGTATAAGTCGAACTGCGAAAGTTTTGTCTTAAAAGTTCAGTCGTAAAGTTTCGACTCTTGCGAATTTTTTAAAGTGATATCACCCTATGCAAGGCAATAAAGTCACTAAGACACAAGGGGTTGCAGGGTGTGGAAGAATCGGGAACAGAAACATTAGTAACGAGTAATCTAGAGGACAGTAGATAGAGATTGACATTGCATTTAATTTTTTGTAGATTAAAGTTGAGTGGTAAGCATGGAGCCAGAAGGGAGTTCTACAAGCGAGAAGTGCGAGAAAAGAAACTGTTAGCATAGAACTTACGGTTACATGTAGCCAGCTCATCTGGACATTGATGAGATCTCGATGCCAGTCTAGTACTGCGCTTAAATTAAAAAGTTTATCGAGGAGCTCATCCGAAAAATTACCATGAAAGTATTTATTTAAAAAAAAAAAGGTACAGAGAGACAATCTTACGGCGGTCGTAAAGGACCAGTAATATTGTTGATTGGATTTTATAAAGGAGCTGAAAGTAAATAGCAGGGACACCGGATCATATGTGGTAGAAATGTTCTAAGCATGGATGAATGGTAGTCTTATAGATATGTAAGATTCTGGAGAGAAAAATTGTCTCGCACGTCACAATGACCCAACTTTCTTAGCAGCTGACCTCGCAATAAATTCAATATAACCTATTTCATCCCAGCTGAGAACATTATACCAAGAAGGCGCAACGAATCACTTTCCTGGAGGTTAGCATTAGCCATGCTTATCGAAGTCACAGAGGGGTCTCTTAGATGATTAATGGAGTGTTTTAATTTTGGTGGCGTTAAAATTAACAAGCCATCTTTTGCCCCAGTTAACGACGGACATGAGGTCATTTGGTCATCGGCTGCCATTTTGTACTTGTCAGACATATCAGCCTTACTATCGTGACAGGAGTAAATGGTTGTATCATCAGCGTAGATACCAGCGGATGCCATCTGGAAGGTTATTAATGAAAATTAAAAACAGAATAGGACTAGGGTACATCTGCGTTAATACAAAGCATCTAGACGAGTGGCCCTTCTGAATAACCGCCATGATAGAAAAGACTAGATCAGTTCAAAAATGTGTTCGGAGACACCATAACTTTTCAGCCTGTATGCCAAACACCTGTCAAAAATATACAATCACATCTTTATTGATTTATCAAGAAATGCTGTTTACCGAGGACCTGTCTGTTTTTACTAGAAAATCAGAATGCTGGATTTTATCTGGGATCAAACCCCCTGGCTCCAACAGGGAATACACAAATATATCGATATTTACTAAGTTTAATTTAGCACGCCACAAGCTTAAACGAGGGTAGATATTATTTTAATACATTCTATCAAATGGAGAGGGCCTACTTACCTAGATCAGCATTCAAATCTCGAACTAGCACCGGAAGAAAAGACCCTATTATTTCGATATCTGTTACTTTGTTTAAGATAGACTTCTGCCAAATAGGAGTTGGATAATTATAATTTTCATTCACTAAGTGGATGTGTGATTAGTGTAAAAGTTATCAGCACGGAAAATGGAATCGGAGTAATGAATTCAAATCCCAGTGTCGTCTTCTGAATTCACTTGACACTAATACTTGTGGAAAAGTTATGAAAAGATACTTCTTTTAGTTCTGCATTAAATATCGCGGCAGACTAGGCTATTTATGATTGGCTGAAAGCTAGTGTAGGAGCAGGACTAATCTGAATTCAAAACCTGACGGTAATAGGAAATCACTCTAATGTCTACCCCGGGAAGCTATGGTGATTCAAAGATAATAAATAAAAAGAAGTCCGTGCAGAGACATAATTCCCCAAATTCTGAAGAAATATGGGATTAAAAAATATTGCTAAGTGCAAAGGCCCTACCTGACTATAGAAATTGAGATCATGGATTTAATCAGAGCACGAACGCGTATCTCTCGCGCTGGTATGAAATCCATAAGTACTTTAGCCACGAGGCAGGCCACCCAATTACTAAATCTCTATTTAAATCGTTAATAATTACTGTCAGCTGCTTTTTTGCTTAGCTTAGATAAACCGAGTAAATTTTGTGCAGAGTCTGAACTTTTAATCAGCTTTTCGCAATGATAAGCACCTGATTTATGATAACAGGATGTTGCTTAATAACTGCTACTTCTGCGCAATATGTTATTTCCTGCTTTAGCCTGGAAGTCGTCTTTTTTCCCCTCATTTGGGATCGCCAGCTATCGGCCAATTAATAAGCTTATTATGCTAATTACCAAATTACAGCTGATGCCCTATTCGGATCGTTGATATTTTGGTAAATAACTGTTGTTTTTTAAATTGTAAAAGGCATCATTCGCCACTCCGGTGTGCTTTTGGATTAGTGAAACGTAGCGAAGAAAACTGCGAATTACCTTGTCAAACCAAACGACAGCGTGTCACATGTCTCCTACGACGGAAAATGCTGTGAAAATGTTACATGCCGAAAAAAAAGGGCACGTATATTGCATGATATGCTGAAGACGGAATATTTAAATTTGAAACAAGACAATCGCAGGAGTCACCATAAAAGTATTTTGATATGCTAATATTGTGCGTCCTCTCCCAGTTTTCGACGAATGAAAAAAATGTTCGGTCGATAAAAGCAGTTCGTGTTCTCGAATCGGGAAAGACAAAATTCATGTATTTGGCTTCCGCGTTTTTCCGTGAGTGAGTCATTTTTCTGATTGGTTACGTGCATTGTGATTTGTGTACCTGCGAATTGAGATTTCGACATTTCTTTCTGCCTTTGATATTCGAGATTGAACTTGCAATTTGTTCTCTTCGTTGTGGAAGTAATCTGCGACAAATATTTCTTTTGCAATCCAAGAACTCTTACATGAAAATAACCCTTCCAAAAGCTAAGCAATATATTAAGAAACGGTAGAATTTAGTGAGAATCAGAGAAAAGATTGCCGAACTGCTATGTACTATCAATCCTCCTATACGGCACTGGGAGCTGGACAATTTCCTCATAAGTGAATAGGAAACTTGAATCAACGGAAAGAC